ATTTGTTGACCTTGCTCAACTCACTTCTTACTATAATGGTAAAATGGTATTCGTTATGTGTTCAGAAATAGATTATTCCATAAACCCTCTACTACCTACTATTTAAACGTTGTTGAGTTTTACCTGCGTTCTTCTTCTTCTTAGTTGACCTCATCTCCCCGTTAAGGTATTGAATATGAAATCTGAAGTTTTCACGGATAGGAATATGCTGAACTGGTTTTTCCGGGTATTTAATCCGTGTATCAGATGGAGTAGTAGAAAGCCAAAAACTTTCTTTCCCAAAAATTATTCACTCCTAAAAATATAACCCTTTCAATTCAATATACGAAGTAATTGCCCAAATTGTGATTCACATTTTGACTAAAACTGTCACATTGGTTGACTTAACACAATGTGCGATCATAACAGAAATAAGCCCAGCAGTGATAATCGATAGCACATGGCATTCGCTATTGTATAGCGAAACACGTGTCGCGGTTTTTGTAAAACTCTTATAGTGAAAATCATACAATAAACTGTATTGAGTAGTTTTTTTTAATATGGATTTTCATCAAGTATCGGCCAGTTCTATTCAATCTATCAAAATTCTCATCTGGGAGGTTCAATCTGCAAGAAATGTGTAGGACCTGCAAAGTTAATTTTCAATTTCTTGAGAAATATGAAATTTTTCTACACACGAAAGGTGGGGGGTTAGAATTTTTTTGTCAAAAATCATCAATTCGGTCGAAATTATTCTCTGGGAGATTCAATCTGCAAGAATTTCTGTCGACCTGTGAGAAGTGTTAAATTTCCTCATACCCGGGGGGTTCGGGTTGGAAATTTTTCATAGGAGAGGTGAAATTTGTTAATAATCGGTGGGTGAGGGTTGCAGTTTTTTCAATACTCATTCTAGGGAAGGTTGTTTTATTGGAAGTTCGACTGGCAACAATTTCAGCCCACTTATAAGATTTCTTCTATCAGAAAAGTGAAATTTTTCTATAATATAAGGGTGACAGTAGTTATTACTGTTGCGCTAGGTACAATAGGAAAAATTTGCTGATCTGCACACATGCAACAGTTAGACCCAATACGAAATGAATGTTAATAGTAATTCCTTTAGTCGCCCACTTGTTTTCAACGCCTTCTATTCTCTCAAGTTATTCAGCGGACGATGGTAGTTGGTATTTTTGAATTTTGGTGTAGGGGATTCTGGACCTCCAACTGGTATGATTGTTTCTTTGTAATGGTTTTCAAGCTTATATGTAATTCTGCGTGTAAATAATGTAATAGTAGTGATGGTTTGCAAGATAACGAGTTGATGCATCCAATTGAATGGTGAACTTTTGAAAATGATAGGAAACAATTTTTATTATTCTTCCATATAATTGATGTGGTCCTTAGATATCTCAAACAGTGAAAGAAATCTATCTAAACTCTTTTTTCTTCAAGATGTTCGATTTCGAAAATGGACTACATTTTGAACTCGCGTTGACCTTGAATTAGAATAATTTTTCCCAAACGCTATAGCCTCACTCGTGTTTATCTTATTCACATTCAAAAAACTCGATTACGATCATACTCAATCATTATTAATAATACAATCGATTGTAGTAATGAATTGTCAATAATAATTGAGAAATTACTTCATATATCCTTCCCCCGATCAACAATCATAATAAAAACAATGCCTACAAAGCATCGCCTATTCCAATAAGGACATCTGAAGGGACCTCTCTATGAAAAATTGGAACTGAGGAAAGTAACGACTACCAGATACCTCCACACACCAGTATGATTTTTGACAGGTCTAAAGAGCATTTTCAATTCGGTATCATGAGGAAATTGAAGTCTCATTTGTACTTTCAAGCAGTTTTCATAACTTTATGGAGGGTAATGTAATTCCGAAAACAAGAAATTTTTCTAATCACCTCTATACTCTCTCAACAAGCGTTCCACCAACCAAGTTGACGTACTTGTTTTATTTTATTTTATTGGCGAGACCGCCAGAGGGCGCTGAAGAGCANTGGTACCTACTATAATTACCACGATTATTACTCCGTTTTCATAAGGCCCACCTAATGACTACAACGATTAGGTAAATTACGATAATGCAAAGTTTTAATGAAATAAATAAAAAATGTGTATGAATATTTTAACTAATTGTACTAAGAATTTTTCTTTCATTCTTGACCCTCTCAAAAATTAATAAGCACGCCCCCGATTTGCTGTCAACTGGGCTTACTTCTACTCTTAATCATTATTGGTTTTAGTATAGTTTGTATAATAGTTGGTAAAACAGTTGAAGCACAGACCTATATCACATTTTTTACACATTGTTCTTCCAAAAGACTTGCATCCTACCCAGCACATCTTCATCACTTGGATGAGACCACAAAATGATCCATCCTATCAAATCGTAGGGCTGGATAAGTACATTTTTTGCAAGAGAGATTCTTCCAGGAACCTTGACAATGGTTTTGTATTTGGGTCAAATATACTTGCACCATCTCTCTTAGTGCCGCCGTTTTTTCATGTTTACATCTAAGATACCAAGCAAATGTGCAGAGCTACATCTATTAGCCACGTAAAAATATTCCAGTACCATTTTTTACCACGTACGCCGATGCGGTACGTAGCAATTTCCTGATCTATAAGATCAGTCCCAACCATGTTCTGGTTGTAGGCGGCCACACTTTGAGGACGATAAATCATGATGTGTTTCTTTTTATTCTGGCAGTACCTTTTGACCGATCCCTCTGGGTAAACACCGACACCCGTTGAGGCTATAGCAACCTCATCGTTATCTATCCTCCACCGTACTAATAGGACGCCATCATTTCTCTCAATAACATGTTCATAAAAACCTCAGTCATTCTGAAATTCTTTTTGGTCATCGGACATGATTTTGGTTTTCCATTTTATCGAATCCTGCCAATAGCCCTATAGCCTAAATTTCGAAGACAAGCCAACAAATGTATCCGGGTGAACATGAATCAATATGATAAACGGCAAATTTCTTTGTAGTAATTCTTTTAACATCAATATCATTGGTGCTGCAGATTTTCCAACTAATTTGCTAATGTCCGCTCATTCTCAATTATCATTACCTAGATACAGTTGAATATCAACAAGATATCCATCGTGAGTATTTAGAGCCCACACCTTGTAACCAATACGGGATGATTTGCCACGGATGAATTGCTTACATCCGTGGCGCCTAAACATTTGATAATTGATTCATCATACGATAAATTCTGTTCAGGCTGAAAATTGGATACAAAGTTTTCCTTCAGGGCATTTATTAAAGGACGTAATTTCCATGACTTATGTGACTGATTGGTTTTAATGTTGTCGGCCATATGGATGAACCTTTGAATTTTCTGAAATCTGTCCCTTCTTATTGAGTCTTTCACTATTTTGTTGTGGGTGTCATCTTTCATATGCCAGTACAACGTTTTCGAAGGTAAAGGATTGTAACCAGTTAGAATTAATATTGCTGTAAAACAGCGAATTTCTTGTGAAGTTATTTCAAGGTCAGGTTCATTTTTGAAATGAGCGTAAAGATGCGTTTGCTCAGCAAGGTACTCCGTGTTAGGAATCACACGTTAAAAGGTGGGACCTCGTTAGTCCTTTGGTCGCACATGTTTCGACTTCTGAGGGTTGTCGTTCGTAGGGGTGCGATAGCTGGTTAACGGAAAAACATATTTTATACATGTATATTTCAAACACAAATGTTTTCAATATCACTGGAGTTTTTTACCAACACCAAATCGTTATTTTTAACACCTCGACACGTGTTTCGATCACCAAGTGATCATCTTCAAAGAGGAAGATTAAAAGTTTTAATCTTCCTCTTCAACACCAAATCGTTATTTTTAACACCTCGACACGTGTTTCGATCACCAAGTGATCATCTTCAAAGAGGAAGATTAAAACTAAAAACTATCGCGAAGCTAACCCTATTTATGCCATCCAGTTGTACCACCCATACAGGTATACCAACCTAAATTAATTTTACAATTTTTCCTTATCAATTATTTTACAATATATATTTAACTGTTAAAGCTGTATATAAAACAATATATATATATAACGATGATGGACCTATACCGAAGAGCATACTATATAGCTTGTTAAAATAATGTTGTTGGGTTTAACTGATTACTACAAAGGACGCAGTGCAAAAATAAATTTTCCTGGATGGTTTACCTGTATGGGACATGGGATATCTATATAGTTTAAATAGGGTTCGCTTCGCGTTAGTTTTTAGTGTTAATTTTCCTCTTTGAAGATGATCTTTTGGTGATCGAAAAACGTGTCGAGGTGTTAAAAATAACGATTTGGTGTTGGGAAAAACTCCAGTAATATTCATTACTACACCAAAGGTTCCAAACAGTGCATCATAAGTATAAATGTTTTCTTCAAAAAACAACTCAAATAGCTCAACAGCTGACAGTACTGCTTCTGTAACTTGCCTTTCCACAGGGTCATTAAAAACTTATTGAGATTAAAAAAAAATAATAAAATTTAAGATTGCATACATTTTCAGACTTGTAGCGGCTTGATACTCCGATTCTTTCATTCTTGACCAATTTTATTTCGGCGGGAGCAAGCAACTGACGACCCAAAAAATTAAAAATAATAACAAATGAGATGGAAGTAATATTTTACTTTCAGGTATCATTGAGATTGTATTTTATTCCTCCTTCCACTTCATCTGCAGAATCCCCATCTGTGTCTACCTTAGGAGAGGTTACAAAATATTTCGTCTGTATTTTGGAGTAATTCGTTATCTTCCGCAAGCATATTCAGGGCTTTTTCTAAAACAATAAAAACATAAATAAAAATTTTGAAACATAACACTAGATACCTCAACGCCTACGGATACTATATGGTATCATGACCTTTGATCCATCATAGTGAACCTTATACATTATTTATGTATAAGGGTGCTTAGTTAGTTACATTTTAATAAATACTCATTCACGATTCACTCAAAATAACAAAGACACAACTAAAATCAAACGTATGCCCATCGCGGTCCTATTATTTACGTGCAGCACAAACACACGTGGTTTTAAAACTTGTTAACCACCGAAAATACTTCACCCAACAAACAAGCTTTGCGGCGTATTATTCTCTGACTTCCACATTGATTTCAAGGCGCTGAAGAGGGGATGCTTGTTTTGTGATACCATGTGGTATCCGTAGGCGTTAATGGGTTAACCTTTGTAAGGGTTAACCAGGAACTCGAATAACTTTCCACAAACTCTAGCCCCACCTGTGGTAATCTTCAGAACATTCAGAAAAACCAGATTACAACCATAAAAATACAGTTATTCTTTAAACGACAAGAAAAAAAACCAGTTGTTTGAAGTAACAATGAATTGTTATTGATAACAGAAAAATAACTTCATACTTCTTCCTCCTGATCAATAATAATAGGTTATATCGGGTATTTCAACTGTAAATACTTTGTAAAAAATGGAAACTGAGGGAAGTAACGATCCATTCGTCCACTAGATACCGCTAAGGATATGAGAATACGAAGCATACGAAGCGATTGAAGTTTCATTTGTCCCGAGCAGTTATCACAGTTTTATTACAACAGTGTTATTGTTGAAATATCGATATTATTTTTCTTCGAGAAATGTTTTTCTGTAAATATTATTCGAAGGTCAATATTATTTTGAAATATGCACGTTCCCTATTAATGTTTTCCTAGAGTGTCACATTCGAATTATTGAACCGAGATGTCGCCCAGTCACAGATGGAATCTCTTTCCTTTGCGCCATGGATCCATGATCATAGATAAGTTTCCTGTGTGCTGTGGTCCTCCTGAACAAACAAAAGAAGAATAAGCGTAATCAAGTCCGATTAAAAAAAGAGAGAGAATTATAAATATTTGGAGAATTATCTAAATCTACACTGCCAAAGATAATTTAATTATTTTGAACACTGCTGATGGCTCTGAAAATAATCAACAATCATTTAGCAATATCATGCCGTTATCTATCCTAATCAATTAAACTTGTTGATGTGCTATCTTTAATTACAATAGCTCAAGACCATGGAAGAATTTATATCACAATAATAACCATGAACAACCTAGTTTTGAGAGCAGAGAGAATATTCATAAATAGGTGAAATTATTAATTATGGAAGAATATGATGGCGAAGAATCGGATTTAACAGAACAAAGTTTTCACAACAATGTCAGGGAGCAAATTGTGAGTATACAAATTTAAATTTTCATTAGTACTCATCTATCTAGCTGAAAATTGTAAGTCCAGCTACACACATTGGTAACAACGTATCTATGTTTATTATTCAATTAGGTGAGGTCTCCACATGTTGGCTTCTATATATGTTCTATCTTGTTAGTACCAATGTGAATTTCTCCGATACAACAGATATTGAAATTCCTTTAAGTACTTTCACAGTTAAGCACCCTGTATCACCTATAAAGTTCCATTTGCCAAATACACTTGTAACCGTTATGACAATGTATGCTTGACGCTGAATTAATGATTCTTATTTTCTGTTTACAATCAGCAAATCTATTTGAATAAAAAAAGTGTTGATCATTTTTTTTTATACCAATTCATGGCATGGCTGTTCGAGTTGGGTAGTAAGACTTTGAATAAATTCATTAGAAGCCAGTAGATATTTGGGAAGGTCATCATTGTTATCCAAGCAATATAAACAAAAACCGACGAGTGAATTCTATTGATAAATGGTGCATAAAGCCAATAATTTTCCAAGTGATTTGAAAAATTATTATTTTTGTAAAATTAGATTGCAATTCAAATTATGGTTTCAAATGATATGAGAACAAATCTAGTCATTCTAGTTACGACACTAATAAGAAGGGAAGTGTTATTTTTGTGGCAGCGATTGTATTATTATAGTTATGAACAATATTTGAAATTGCTTACATCTCAAGAATAACAGAAATCTAATTAAAACATTCTTGAATGAAGATCAAGATCTTCAGATGATGTGGTGCTGCAGGTTTTTTCGGGTTTTCCTGCAGCTGAAAAAGCAAATGCGCCACTGGAATCAATGAAGTTGCCCCGGAGCGCCAATTGATTTTTATTGTTATTTTTATTTTTATCATTGCTTTATACAGGGTGTAACTGAATAAGTGTAAAACATTTGAGGAGGTGATTCCTCATTGAAAAAACGATAGGATCTTTCATATAAAGAAACTTCATTGGAGCTTCCCTTGTTAAGATACAGCCCCTTAAAGGGGGTACATAAAATTTGTATAACAATTTTTTTCAGAAGCACTGAAAAAGTTACAATATTGAAATTAACCTGACGTTTTGTACTACCAAAAAGACACTTAGCCAGTAATTTATTTGGTTTACCCCATGGTTGTAAGGGGTGGAAAACGCAACCCCTAAAATTTATTTCCAATGTAACTTTTTGTCTTATTATTTGTTTACCATTCAAAAATGTATTTCCGATAACCTGTTTCATTGTAAAAAAAAATTTCTCTTGAATTTTTTGCCCAAAATGAACCAGTTCTCAGCAAAAAATTATTTTACGAATAACTACAGAGATACATCGTCATAAATGCGAACTGGATTTATTGTTATTTTGTAGTTAGTACCTGCATTAAACGATTAAAGGGTAATAAACAAAACTAATTTATTAATAACGAAACACACAACATGTAGAAATCATAGTAAATGTTCAATATGTCTACCTTCAGACATTACGTATGGGTCTAGACGTCGGCGCATTGAGCCACGTATTTGCTCAAATATTCCTGGAGTCTCTCTGATTATCCTGCACGCTTCGATGATGCGGTTTCTTAAGTCCTCTACATCGCGAACAGGAGTACGATAAACCAAATGATGTAAATGGCCCCAAATAGATAAATCGAGAGGATTGAGATCCGGGGATCGAGAGGGCCAGTTCTGTGGTCCTCCTCGACTTATCCACTGATTTGCATATGTTTCAGCTAAATGCTGACATATTACTTGACTAAAATGGGTGGGAGCCCCATCATGCATGAAAAACATATCCCTCTGACGCCCAAAGGAACTTTCTCCAGGAGTACTGGATGCACTTTTCTTAAAAATTGAAAGTATGCCTCACCATTTAATCAAGGAGGTAGAAAATGAGGCCCAATTGAATTATCCCCAATAACTCCGAGCTACACATTAAGAGAAAACTGTTCTTGATGGTTAGTTTCGACAATAGCATGAGGGTTTTCATCAGCCCATCTTCAGAAAGTCACAATTTCTTCTAATCATTTCCAGCATCTAATTGCAAAATTCAACACCGTCATATGATCAACATTTAGCTGGAAAGCAATCTTTCTAGTACTGGTAGTAGGTTGTTCTTCAATCAAATTAAGTACTGCTTCCTCAAGCTGTGGTGTTCGTACTTCTCGATGGCGACCACAATCCTGCGTTCTTTTATCGAATGATCCATATTCTCGTAATCGTTAATGAAGTCGAGCAAATATTCTATGTGAAGGATGCTGCCGCTGAGGATACATTTCAGCAAATCTTCTAGAAGCTTCTAACCCATTTCCATGCGACAGACCGTAAACGTAATGCATATCAGTCATTTCTTCGTTTGTGTATGCCATTTTAATAACAAGTGAATTATTAAAGTAACTAATTAAGAACAGAAAAACAACACACAATTAGTGTTAATTCATTTTCAAAAATTCACAAACTGACAGCGTCATACCAATTTAATTATCACTATCGCTAATAGCGACCTACTAGATAGATTAGTTTCGTATTTTCACATTTATGACGATGTATCTCTTTAGTTGTTCCTTAAATAATTTTTTGCTGCGAACTAGTTTAATTTGGGCAAAAAACCCAATAGACATTTTTTGTTCAGAATGAAACAGGATGTCAGAAATAAATTTTTAAATGGTAAAAAAGTTCATCCCAGTAAGTTACTGTGTAATATAAACCACCGAAACTTTCTTTAGATGGTTGACGTGTCGGAAAGTAATCATTCTCCGTTTTCAAAAAAAAAAAAATAACTTGTGAACAATGCCTGAATTGCAAACAGCTATATTTCCTTTGACACACACATTTTCGAGGTGAACTTTGTTTAAGAATGAAGTAGTAGGAAGCCAACACTAAGCACTTTTCAATTTAAATGGTCAACAGATTTTTTTTTTTTCAGATATTTCTTCTCCTTTTTCTGCTCCTCTATCTTTTGAGTTTTGCCTTGTTAGGCCGGTTCAAGCGCACAGGTAGAGAAGATTATTTCAGCAATGACGAAGATGAAGTGACAGTTTACAGGTTCAGCACTTGGCTGTGTACCTTTTCATTGGCAGTTTCAATTGGGGCTGTGTTGTTATTACCTGTATCTATAGTTGCCAATGAGGTATTGGTAAATTATCCCAATAGTTATTACATAAAATGGCTGAATTCTTCTCTTATACAAGGTGAGTGGAAATTACCATGGATTTCAATCAACTGCATCAAATGATGTCAGTGAGACTTTTCTTCAAATGATTTGATTGTCTATTACAATTTTCGAGATCTTCATCCAAATCTGTAGCGGATGTCATTCAATGTAACATTTTGATTAACTTAATTAGATTTCATATTACTTTTTTTTTTAATAGACAGAAAAAATATTAGCGTAGAACTTGCTCGACATTCTCCAAGGTGAATAGTCAAATGTTTCACACAATTTGTAATATAGATTAATTTTTAAACCCTCAAAATTTTGTTTTGTCTTAATGTAGATCACTACATAGTATAAAACAAAGTCGTATATACAGTGCATTTATTTAATGTGCTTGTGCTTAGTATTTATTTCTAAGAGTATTCTCTCTCCAAAAAAGGGCAATTAGATACCTATGTAGTTCTGATTACCGTGAATCCTGTCATCCCTTGTTTATGCAACATGGAGTTTTGACATTGGTTTGTATCTACATTTTGGAAATGGCTTGCCTCATGCACAACAAATACCAAGCTATAGCTACTTCTGAGTCAACCTATAACACTTGCTCCTCTCACTTGATCTCGCTTCCAATTCCCTCCTCAACCTTAATTTGCAACTCTCTAATTTTTGATGGCAAGAAAATTTTCAATCACCTTCCCCTAACCTTGCATGTCATCAAAAGCGAAGTCAAGTTCAGAAAATCTGTAAAAATGCTCATAGTTGGTAGGGCCTACTATACCCTGGAAAAATACTTTCAGGATTCTTTTTGCTGAGATCTCTATCTTTGGCGGCGGTCATATAACGTATGCCTAATTCTTCATATATTTAGAGGTAGTCCTTGTAATTTCATGTAGAAAATGTAAAAATTTTTTCTTTTTGTTTTTCCGGCATGTTACTTTATTCATTTAACTGGCACATAGTAGTTTTGTTGTTCAATGTTATTTGGCTTAGTGGTGTAAATCTTGTTGCTTTTGTATATGCAATTATGTCCGCTTCTTGTAACGGTGAATTTATGTGTATTTATGATCTTGCTAACTGTATATTTGTGATGTTATCATGGTGACTGTATGCTTTGTCATGAGAATTGTTATTCTTGGACAATAAAGTATATTTTGATTTGATTTAATGTCCCCCTCCTTTTATTTTTTGAATGGGTCAACTCAAAAAATTGAAATTTGGGATAATAATATTTATTTGTAGTTCCTTATTACATACAGGCTGATTCACGGTGGATGGCACATTAGACGTTTCTGGTGAACCAGACAACGGATCACTTTGAAAATTTAATGGAGGGCATATTCGGACATTCTCTAGCCAACTAAATTAGAAAGCAGTAGCAACTTTGATTTTTCAAATGGAACACTCTGTACAACTTTGATTTTTTGGAATCTCCAACAATTGCCCGATATTATTTTTGGAATCTCCCCT